AAGAAAACTATTCTTTAAAAAATGTGATTTGAAAAACAAAGTATGTAACTGGAACTTTCTATATAAAAAATACGGTTTTAATTTAATTAGTATTTAAGAGACAGGCAGCCATAGCAATGATCAGTGAAGAACTCTCATATGGTAGGCCTTTTCAATTCTCTCCATTTCTGCATTTTATTATCTACTCTCATACAACCTATGTTGAAGGCTGCCAAGGACCATCAGAAACAAAATACTAGGGGGAAAAACCCCACGCCCTTCCCCTGCCCCCCAGCAACAACAGAGGGGGACACCCCACCCATCCCCCCCCAAACCCCCCAAAAAAATCAAAAACCCTACAGCCTTACAGAAGAACCAAAAATAAATTTGAGTCTAGTATTCTGAAGGTAAAGGAATAACGTATCAGTGCCATCGTATTAATACTACTTTATCGTTCTGTACTTTCTGGATTGTTAAAAAAGTAATCATAAAGTGGATTTGAATATTGACCTTTAATGAATATATTGAAGGCAGCTCTAACTTAAAAGTTATTTCTGCCACAGAAGTTATTGAAAATTATCCTCTATATTATGCAAACAGAAGTACACACATTTGTTTTTAAAAAAGTGCATATTAAGATTAGCCCAAATGCCTGTATTATTAAAAAAACAAAAAAAATTTACTTACTATAGCAGCTTTCACAAGCCCGACCTATTAGTGAGGCTGGTGCCTGATAAGAGGCTCCCACTGCTCCATTGACTGCAGCAGGTTTCCCATTGTTGCTGGATATTTGATTGGGATTTGGTTTATTGCTTTAAATTAAAACAAAACAAAAAATTTAAAAAGTGATTTTACTAACCAGTTAGTCAAAATGAAAACCAACAATCTAATTCTGGAATTCTGATGTGTGGTGACAATATCTGTAAAATCTGCTCTAAACAACAAGACTAATTTTTATATTCCTCTAGTATTTTCAGCACTGTAGGAGACTTGCTATGTAGAGAGCTGCTTTGATGCTCAAATTTACAGATCTTTGTAAAATGCTCTCACATGGTCTAAGCTACTTGGCAAGCTAGTAAAGACCAAGTGTCAGGGTCAAGCATTAACAAAAGGCTGACACAGCACAGAATTTAAGGGGGTTCCAGTCAACAGATAAGGCTTTACAAGGTGAGGCTGGACTTTGGGTGAAGCGTAACAAGTAAGAGTAGTAACACTGCCTATAATACTACAAGGCTGTCCACCCTAGAAGAGAGTCTGCTGCCTCCTATCTCAAGCAGAAGTACATAACTTCCCACCAACTGCAGTAAATGTGAATGTCTTATAACCCTGGCAAAGCTCGCCCATATAATATCAGGCTGTTCCATCTGGGTTCTGTTCTAAACTACTTTCTCTCTGAGAAGGCTGAAGAACTGTTTTTGTGGGGGTTTTTTTTGTTTTTGTTATACTACATTATTATTGTGATTATTTTACTTACTAATACTTCAGTGAATTTACACTGAATAGTGAAATAGGACTTTACAGGTCAGTTAATTCAAAGAGAATTAATATACTTCCCACTAGGTTAAGTACAGTACTTCCAAAGCTCCAACTTTGTGGGTGTTAATTACCCCTTTGACAAGCTATACTCTCAATACAAGGCTGGATACACTGATTCCCAAAATGATTATTCATTACTTTAGGTAGCATAAAATATATTTACGATTAGTTAAAATGATTAATTGAAGAAACCTTTGCTGTATCAAGTCTCTACTCCAAATGCCAGCAAGTCTGCCTCATACCTTCTCCTTTTTCACTACATCCAGTGAGAGACACTTTTACAATTTCCAAATACTCTTTTATCAAGTACCTTGGGCTCAAGCTACAAGAGAAGGAATTGAGACACGATCAAATCTCCCACGTTATGATCTGTTGCTTAGTTACCTTCCAGAGAAGCAATGAATTGAAAGGGACTCTCTGGTATTAAGGACAGAACCTTGCTTTTACAGGAAATAACTTATGATCAAGTTCAAAAAGGTATTCAGCTTTGAGTATGAATTCTACTCAGATTTCAAATATAATAAATCAGTATTGAAACAGAGCGTTAGCAATCCATTTGCCCAAGAGTGCCCCAGACAGCACAGTTATCAAAGACTTGAAAAGTCCCACCACCTCTTACCATTGACTATGGATTTTGTCTTGACATGGAGGCAAAAGACAGGCAGTAAGAAAGATAAAGGCAAAAATCCTACATTTCAAAACAGGTTTTGTCATCCAATAAAAATAGTCCCTACTGCAAACATATTGGCAGAAGTCCTGAACTGTCCACATGGACAAAGTAAATTAAATTGAAAAAGCATTATAAAGACTGAGCATCTTACAGTTTTCCTAAAGCAGCCACCTCCCTGAGAGGGTTAGGAAACACTCCTACTAGAGTGTTCAGCTCTTTTCAAAAGGCATCATTTATCAGAGACTTGAGCTTTAAAACTCACAACATTTCTTCAGAGATGAGATTAAAAGACTGAATTTAACAGTCTGCTGTTTGTGTTATTAAACCCAGTTAAGAGAAAAGTCTGTATGAAATATGGAAATGAAGCTCTATTGTATGCAATTTATACAAGTCATCAAAAAGACAGCAGCGAATTTTCAAAGTATTTCATTTGGTATTCTAGTCTTCTGTTATACAAACACTCCTAACAATGGGAAATTCACATATATGTAAACTGAATATACCCACAGAAAGCTTCAAAGAATGTAATCTGTAATCCTTTCTCTTCTCATAATCTTGAGGAAATTATGAATATGAAAGAGAGATTATATCTTGTTTCTGTAAACTACATGTTAACAAAAGCAGATACAGCATCGAGTTTAAATCTAAAAAAACAGATTAAAAACGCCTCAGAAGAAAACAGATTTCATTAGTAAGACTTTTTCAAAGATAAAAGATTTTGGGCTGTGTGCTACCTTTAATTTACAGCCAGAATATCTCTTGTCTCTAGCTGAAGAACAGACTGTATCAACAAGGTAAAACTGTAATGGGAAAGTCTCTGATTTTATTTTATGTAACTACATTAACAACTGCTTTTATTTTGAAATATTGCATTTACATTTACATTACAAATATGAAGTGTTGTGCTACAGGGATTCCGAAAAACTGGAAAAAACTGCTTTTTAAATGATAAGGCCCTTCTTGCATGTGAGCAGTCCACAAAGCACTTGATCACCTTTTGTAAAACTTCCCATTGTTCCAGAACAGGCAGTTTGCAGGTCAAAGACAACAGGCTCTGTTAAGTACGAAGGTTTCACTTATGACGAGAGTTTGTGGCATTTTCTGATTATATCACTGTATATTGTTTGTATATTACAAATACTAAGAAAGTAACTATTAAAAAGACGACTAAGAAAATATCGTGCATGTTACTGTTTCAATTTTACCTGTGTATTATTCAAAAAAATGACTTTATTGTTATACTCACTAGGTGGGGATGTATACTTGTTTCAATTTACTTTCTGCTTCAGCTGCTTTCAGACGTTTCTAGTTGAAAAATTAACACATTAAAATATTTTATTATATTCAAGTATGAGATTTCATAAAACTGCACACAATCCATCTTTAAATTATTTCTATTTTGTGATTCCACAAGAGCCTCCAAAACAAATGTAGAAATCTACAAGATGAAAGCCATGAAAAACAATTTCTCTATTTTTATTATTAGTTTGAAATTACAGTATACTGTCCTCCCCAGTAAAACTCACAGGCCTCACAGATGACTGTAAAAATGACAATTACAATTTACATAAATTACATCTACATAAATATGTACGACATTGTGGCTAACCTTCATTGCAAAATAAGTAGAAAATAAATGAGTGAAATTGCACACGATGAGTTCCTCATCACTCAGGTAACTCAATACTTCTTGTGTGCTCTGTCAAGCCCGAGGCTAGTCTTTTATAAGCAGTACAAGGAAGTGGAACAGTAAAGTCCCCTGACTGTTAGAAATAATTAAACATCTACTTCCGTTAATGTGCCATTAAAACTGTAACTCAGGAACACGGCAGTAGCAGGACAGCTACACTACTATCAAGATAGTCTGTGAATTTACTAAATTATTACTTTCTTCATACTTGCAACAAAGTCAAAACATGTTGCACACAAGGTAGTACTACTAACTTCTAAAATGTTGAGAAGCTTTAGTTATTTCCATATATTATACAAGTAACTAAGATGACAATTTTTTCAGCGATGGCGCAAGAAAAAGTAGACATCTGAACTCTGTATCCGAAACATTTGTCTGTACATAAAAGATGAAGGAAAAAAAGATTATTTCCATGCGCCTCCTGTACTCAAGACATTACTTCTGTTCACTTGAAGAAAAAAAAGAACAAAAAAAAAGAGAAAAGGAGTTGAAACAGTCAATTTTATTACAGAGGAGGAAAAAAAAAAAAGGGACACTGATATCCAGCAATAATAAATCAACACTACCTGCCTGCCTCTCAAGATTCCCCCTTTCTTTATCAGCTGTTTAAAATTCAGTCCTCCATTTCTCCTACAACAGCCAACTCTCTTCTCTGCTATACTCCTATTTTCTGATATCCGATATTTGCAAGGCTCATAATCCACGAAGATATTTCCCACCTTGAGAAAAGTATCATCAAAAGACTCTGCTCTGAGAGTCTCTTGCCTGAGCCATGAGGCAAATTACAGGTTTAATCAGCTTTTACTGGTCGAGTAGTCTGAGTTAGCCCCCTCATGTAAACCACTGCTCTTTTCCATTTCAGAAAGTTGCCTCTGTGCCGACCATCACCATAACTCTCATTTATAAAAACTGCATCTTTGAGGAGCAATCTATGACAAATAGACTCCTAAGCAGTCCATGCCACCATGAATTAATTCCCATGCAATACGAGAGGCCTTTTCTATTTATTTCCATGATAGGTTGTTTTTTTTGTTTTGGTTTGGTTTTTTTAACAGGTTTTTGCTGTTCACAGATGCCTAGTTGTGTTCAGAGCTACAGAAGTGACTTCCATTGATACATCTGGTGTAGTTGCAGTCTTTTCCCAGCACCAGGCTTGGCAACACCGCACTACCTTCAACAGGCCCATAGCAGAAATGCAAACACAGTATGCTGTGCCTGCTTAAGTAGTTTTTATAAGAGCAAGGAGAAAGAATAGCAGCAGCATGCTCCAAGTCTCATAAATTGGTAGTTTTTAACCTGAGAACATTTCACATCCCCAGCAGAAGAGCTCTCAACAGTGAACTCTTTCCGCTCAACAGCTTCAGGCCACAGGCTTTCCACAACTGTCTCTTTTTCCTTTTCATATTATACCCAACAATATAGAATTTGTTTTCAAACTGAAAAAGCATGCGAGACTGCAGGTCAGCAGGTCACATGCGTTCCACAGAGGTTCATAACAAACTGGTCCCATTCTACAAAAAGAACACATAATCTCACTGCACACCTAGCAAGACCATCAGAGCAAAAGAGAAAAACACAATAAAGGGAAAGAAATGAGGCCTTGAAGCACTGTCAAAATGTAAAGGCATTTGTAGGAAGCTGTATTAAGCCCTGAATGGCAGTGACAGTGAGAACTGACTATAGACATTAACTAAATTTTAGCATACTTTTAATATGGCATGGGGGTTGTAAGGAATGCAATTTTAGCAATTGCTTTCCTTCTTTATTTACTTTATTGTATAAAGTGAATCATATACTGCCTTCTACAAAATAATCACACAATGCCCCTTCAGTATAAGCTATATTTTTATGCACTAAAACTATGGTTAACATTGCTCTCTAAAAGCAACCGAAAATGTCACAGCTCGAATTCACACTGACCTATCAACTTTTAAGTACCAAGAGAGAAGAAAAGATGCGGAAACAAAACTATCAACAAATAGTTGCAATTTCTGAGAAGAAACCTTTGCCTGTTGAAATTTAGAGGATGAAAACTGGTAAACTGTAAAGGTTGGAAGTTGAAATTGAAAACATTTAGACAAGAAACAAAGCACCAGTTTGTAACAATAAGGGTAATAAATTGCTCGAGCAATGTAACAAAGAAAGCTGATGCTTTTCCTGAAAAAAATTTACATCTGATCTTAAACAGTAACTATTTCAAACAAGTCTTGCAGACTGCATTGTAGGGGAGGTCAAGCTACACTAACCCAGCTTCTCACCTTTCACCTGGGCTCTACTACTTGTAATCAACTACCCTTCAAAGTGAATGCTATTTCTTTTTAAGAACTCTTGTTATGAATATCAACTGACAAATATCCCAAGAAATGACAATTTCAGTACGTTAGTACTGTTTTCAACAGCGGAAATAAATAAATGAGAGGGAAATGTAGTATGTTGTTGTAGTACAGTAATGTAGTTATCCTTACATATGTTCTCCCTTTTTTCTGTTGCAAAGTCTCAGTAAAAGTCTTTTTGCATTGAATCAGATTTTTAAGGAGAACACCACAAATAACGAGAACACATTTCATTCAGTGGAATGAGCCACCTGGCCTTCCTCAAACACCATATAATGTAGCAGTCATGGAAAGTGCCGTATCACCAAGAATGATTACCCAAAGCCTGAATTAGTTTTGCTAGACAGGTTCAGCACAGACTGAGAACTTTAACGTATCTATTTCCCTTCACCTTGACTTGAAGGAAACATGCTCTGAAGGCAAGGTGGCAGCAGTATCTCCACTGCCATTAAATCACCACCTTCAGCTACCAAGCAAGAATAACATTTAGGAGCAGTCATGACAAGGGAAACCTTCCTTATGCCTGACACAAATGCAGCCACTTCACACAAAGAAATAAAGATAATTAAAGAGCAAATTTTCATATTAAATCACACCAATCTAGAATTCAGAGACTGTATTTTATGCATAACATTCAAGAACGTACATCAACCTCTTTGTCTTCCCATTCCCCCAAGCTGCCCTACCCCTCAAGCATGATATTTAGAGAAGAATGACTCTGAAATTGCCACTTTCTCACTGAACATATTTTCTCTCTGAAATGTATTCAATTATCACAGCTTGTTCTGGTGGAGAAAAAACCCTACAGATATTGTTTTTACCGAACTATATTATTTTTACCATTCCAGAACAAACTAAACAAGGGCAGGATGAAGTTCTGATCTCTCGTTAGGAAGGATTACAGAAATGTTAACCAGGATAGAAATGAGGTTTTTGGCCTACACTGGTTTTGTTATTGATGATCATGCATGACCTTGAAAGAACATGTCTAAAGCATTAAATCCTGTGGTCTATTGCCATGTTCTGAGTTACAATGTTCTAAGTTTACTTAGTTGTAAGTAAAACACAGGTATTTGTAAGAGTATTCAAGTTGTAGGTGACCATAAAGCCTATGTGTTTTTCTTATATGTGAGGCTAAAAAAAGTAACCCTGCGGAAGGATACACAAACTCAACACACCATCACAGACCTTGATCGTTGCAGCAACAGAATCATAATGAAGCCCTAGAGAACTTTAGAAAGAGAGTCTCAGTCTTTCCCCAACCATTCCAGGGCAAGTATTTCAGAAAAATTTCACAGGAAACAAGATCAATCTCTGAGAACCTAAGAGTGTTGACAAAAGTCATTTTGCACTTCAATTTATCCATGGCTTTCAGTATCAATAAAATCTTTTTATCTGATTCTTCAAGATCATCCATTGCCCAATTCGTAAGAGCTGACAAACACCACAGCAAATCTCTGCTGGCAACACCTTTCTAGGATAAAGATTAACAGTGCAAAAAAAGCATTGAAAGTGAAATGAATGGAGACAAACCCAGAAAAACATGCCTTTTGTATTATTTTCTATTTGTATTATTCACAGAATTAAAAGGTACTTGTGATAGTCCAAGACTCTACTACGTGGTAGAGACTTTTCCCTTACTTTCCATACCCTAACAAGATGATGTAGAAACACTTTCAAATAAACCAGAACAATCTGAAGCAATCATCCTTCTGACACACTGTAACAAAATTGGGAACAATTCCAAAGATCCATCTAACAATACAGCTGTAATCACTGCAGCAAAAAATTTTCAACATGCTGTACATACATCACCACTAATTATGCAGCAAGTAAAGGAGCTACAGACTTAGATGTTAAATCATAAATTGTAATGGAGTATTTTACAACATTCTGTATATCTAAATCAAGGAATAAATCTATATAGTGTACAATATAAAAAGCACTAACACTGAAATTTTGCCTAAACCTGCATAAAATATCCCGGTGTAGGTACCCAATATAATCTCACCATGTTTCTGCTCCAGAGCAACCCAAAAAATTGAACATTCTGTCAGAAGGATGAACACATCCACTGTATGCAGAATGTTCTCAATTATTTTGTTTTTAAATCCTGGTAATGCCAAAGTAATGTTCTATCATGGAATATCAATAAAAGGTTCATAACATTAGCAGTCACCTTTAACATAGTGTATATTTCTTTTCCTTCAGTCCCATGCACAGCTTTACAGCCTAAAGCGTTTGCTCTGGAGCTCATTTCCTTCTTATCCCATACTGCAGTAAGAACCAGGAATCACATTGCTACAGACCAGCATACAATACAAATGACTTAAAAAGCTCTTCAGTTACATGATGTATAGAAGGCATCAGAGGATTTGACAATGCACCCTGTGAACAGCACAAAACCACTGGTCTATAGCCTAAAATATTACCTTAGGCCTCCCACTGTATCTCTTTTTAAGAATGCAAACAAGATTTTTATGCTTTAACAAGTTCAGATTTTTTTAAGAACGTGGCAGACTGGTTCATGCTGAAATACCCATTAAATTACCTGCTGCACATATCTGTCAGTGGTTTTCCACATGTAATAATACTCAATGATGCTAGTCAGCGACTTCCAAGGGAGCTGAAAAACAATTGTTACGAATTAGAAGTGGTTCCAAGAAATTGCAATGTCCACATCTTATTAAACACATGTTAAAATCAAGTATAGTTGATACACAAATAGTAAAATGTCAATGTATTAAATACCTACATTAAAATCCATAGGGAAATAAATACATATTACTAATAATAATATACAATCTTTTCTTATAGTTAACAAAGATGCAGAATTACAACAATATTATACATCCAAATGTAATTTATTCTGTTTAAGCCATATGGTTAAACAAAATGATCAAAACAGAATCCAGATTTCCATCAGGAAACACAGACGGTAATCTCTCTATTATAAAGTGTATCAGATGGAGAACAACATCAGGTCCAAAATAAATCATCTTGACAAGACTCTGTTCGAGTCTCATGATAATTTCACTCTTAAAAAAATACAACGGTTATTGTACTTAGTTCACAGTTTTTTCAAGTCCCATAATAACTCATCTGCTCATACAATACCACTAGTTTCGCATAAACCTTTGCATACTCTTGACCATTAAACAAGAAACAAAAGGATGCTAGGGACAAATGCTACCTTGAGCAACAAGAGTGATACTGACTATTTCACAAAAATCTCTGTGCAAACTCAGGGCAAGTGATGATGATGATTATTTTGGGTGCACATGTTCATTGGTAAAGTGAAAATGTATTAGCCTAAGTTTAGGGGAGAAAATTAAGCATACAGCAGCCATTTTTAATTACTACTGAATCACCTATTTAACTCCATAAATTCTATCATTTAAATTAGTAATTCTCTTACAGAATTCATGCAATTTTTCTTCATAACCTGGAAACAAGCTACTATTTCAGGCGTGGTTTTTTCTAGAGGCATGCACTAACGCTAATATTCTCTACTCTCCAGAAATAAGGATGATTTTTAAGAAATCCCAGAAAATACAGATGTGGAAACATTATCTTTCCAACCTCATTCACTTCGCTTTGGGGCTTTCTCCATGTCCTAAGCCAAACGCATATGTTCCTGAACCTCTAATTATGTTCCTAAAAGCAACAGAGGAACACTGCACCAAGCTGCCTCTCCCAGCATGCAGGAGCTCACAGCCAGTTTTTCAAGCTGCTTGCTTGCAGATACTTAGAGGCACTGAGTCTGGCTCCCACCTCTGCCTTTCAGGAGCTAGGATTCAGGTCCAGACTCAGCTGTGCAATCTCTTTGAGGCATTGTACCACAGCGTGTAAATCCCTGGTCCAAACAATAGCAGTTTTGTCTATTTGCATTTAACATGTAGCAGTGTAACAAATGCATAAGCTGATGTTGCAATGGATACCAAAACAATTCCGTTTACTAAAATCCTTTTACTTTCTCATGTAAATTATGCCTTAAGAGAAATCTGCCCAAGAAAAGGCCAGTGAAAGGAACATGCGTTTGGTGTGAGGTGACAGATGAGTTGCTTCTCAGTCTCTAGGTTCATATTTTTCCTGGCATCCAGATGAAACACTGTCACCCCAACTACCTGCCATTGTCAACCAGCACATTTTAGCTTCTCCTATTTATTTGCCTTCCTGAACACTTATTAACACAGTCATGCTACAGATTATGTTTGACATTTCTCTAGAAAATACTTTAATCTGTTTTAACTATGATTGTGACACCAGTATGTTCATTCACTCAGTAGGCATCTACAGTTAAAGAAAGATAATTAAGGTGCTTGGACTGGATAACCATGATCCTTTTACACTTTGATTCACAACTCAGAAAACCTGTTTGACAGACTGAGTATGAATATTCTGTATTCTGTTTACCTACGCACTTAAATGACAAAACACACTAGAGGCACATGAATTTTCCAGAGGTTGCTCTGAACTGCCAGAGAAGCTGTGAACAGCCATAGAATAATGTACTCTCATGACCAAATTCTATTAAATACTAATTGAAAGAAGCAAAAATGACCATCTGCGTGACATTTTTGTAGGAGAAAATTAACAAAGAGGTGTCAGCAGTACAAAAACTGAGAGGGAGAGGGAATTTTCAGTTTCTTCAGGATAAAAATGGACCACTCAAATCAGACCAGCAGGAAAAAAGAAGGATTATAAAGTATCATAAAATGAACATGTTAACTTCAAGGCATGTTTCCACAATTTTCTGAAGTTGGAAAACAGTTGCTCCTATAAACGGTTCAAGTCTGATTCCCAAGGCCCTTCCTGCCATATTTGAGATGTAACAGTTACAGATTTGTGAGAACAGCTGATAATGAAAAACTAAGAATTAACAAGCATAACAACTGTCTCTTACCATTAGGAAAATAGTTATATTTGGAGAACATAAAATATTCAGTCTTCTTCCATTCTACTACCCTGGGATGTGAAGTAATTCAAGTACGTTAAGTAAATTCAATTAACTTAAAAAGTTTAGGTTGATTAGGATTCACATAGGTTCTTAAAGACAGCAGAACCTCAACAAATGAGCTCCTATAATGATGAGCCAAGAGCTAATGAAAATGATTATTCAAAGGCTAGACTGGTAATTTGATAACAAATGAGCTTCTCCTCTCTATTAAAAAAAAGGTAAACTCCTTTGCACCATTTAATTTATAATAATTGTCTTGCTTGCTAATATTTAATGTTTATAGCTTAATGCTTGAGCTCCACATTGAATGTCAGTTCATGCAGTGAGATTCTGCCTTCATGATGTAAGAGAAAGATCTACTCATTTAACTGAATCAAGGATTTAACTCAGAAAGTTAAGCTCCAGAAGAACTTAGTAACTTAACTTTTAATAAATATGGAATTTAATTTTAGAAAAAAATTAAATAAATAAAATTTCCATGGGAAAAACATTTACTATATATGTAATATTGACTATTCCATAATTAGGCTCTGTCTTTAGGAATTTAAGTAGCAGAATTCAGCAGGGAAAGACTTCCTGCCTGCCAGACAACCCCGCCTCATCCTGAAAACCCAATAATTCAACCACCTACTTCAGACGCACATCAATACTTCCTGGCTACTTGATACACACATTGAGACAGTCATTTTCTCTTAGTCCTCTGGGAAGCTTTCCTCTTGGGCGTATGAATGTTTGCATAATTATTTGTTTCCCTATGACAGGCACATTTTACAGCAAAATAACAGTCATTGAAAAGCCAAATACTATGTATTAGGAAACATTTAGTTAGAAGACATAGCTACTGAACTATTGTACTAATTACAGCTGAGGACCATTTATCTGTATGAGAAATAATAAGGAATTGTAGTTTACATTAAGATTTCAGTTCTAAAACTCTATAAAATATTCTTTTCCAATCATATTTTCTTGAACTTAACACAGCTATTTCATCCATGATGCAATTTTCAACCTTATGGGATGAATGCAGTGAACATTTTCTCCCTTAGGAATCTCGAAAATAACACGCAGATATAATACACCTGTTAAAATGTCAGTTCTTCAGAAAAACAATAGCCTTCCCTTCCCACCTTCATTCAATTATCTGTTTCATTTCAGAACTGTGAAAGTGAAGAAAAGACAGCTTAGCTCAGTGCCAAGACCTCCCACTGTCCTGCACTCTTAGTTGGAAGGACTTCTATGTTTACCAAAGAGTGTAATTTTCCCCTCACAAAGATTATTAGTAGTATCTGCAAAGAAGAAAAATCTGAGCTCTCAGAGTCAAGCAGAAAGAGTTGTGAAAATGTTTCAATTGACTTCAGTCTTAAGTAACGGAATTCCTTTGGCTCAAATCCTAGCCTTTTCACAAAGCCCAACCTGAACTTAGTGCAACAGAGGAAATCTTTTTCCTGGAAAGAAAGAGGCTCTCCAAGAAACCTGCAAAAAAATTTGCAGACAAATTACTAGCAGTTCCAGCAACCAGTGTTAGAATCAATTTCTTTTAATTACTCTGCATTAGAATTCAGCAAATTAAAGCTTTGCTGCCCTGTAAGTCTGATATTTCGGTACCAAAACCAGTGCAGTTAGAATATACTGGAAAACATTTCCTTTACTTTTCAAAAGTGCCAAAATACCTAATATGTCAAAATAACTCCCTGTAGTACACTTTAAAAGCTATCTGAATATAAATTTCTCTCTGCTAACTAGAGAAGGAAACCCCAGCTTTTCCAAAAACACTCAGGGGAGTCAGCCATGTCAGCTGCTAATGAATCTCACTGGAAATTGTGGAAAAGTTCTGAAAAGCTGCTGGAACTTTTTCAGATGCTTGTAAAATCCTTGTAAAAATCCTTTTCAAAACATATCAGCATGAGACATCCTACCTGGTATTAAACCATTAAACAGATTATCTTCTGCCAACATCTTTCCAAAGAACGGCACTGAACAAGAAAGCTCATTGACTTTCAGGCAGATAAAATGTGTATGTATGTTAATTACATATATCAGCTACACAGATTTCTCCTCTAGCTAATCTTCCAAACCTACAGAAAGCGGTTATGCTCACCCATGAGAAAACACAGTAACAGAAAAGTGTACTACTTTCGTACTTACAAAGTCTTGTCGAATGTCATTGAAGTCCTTGCCATACTTTTCCAATGCCTCTTCAAATAAACTAGCTTCTGATGCTGACCACTCTTCCATTTCATCTCTACACAAGACAGGCCCTCCAAGTGGCACTAGAACACTGATGGCACTGCTCAAATCATAGTTGTGTTTATGCAGTGTATCCATTGCATGAAACTAGAAAGGAGAAGGACAGAATAAAAAACTTTTTTAAATAGACAGCAGTCCATTTCAGTTAACGCAAATTCAATGTCTTACTTTCTATCTTGATATCATAGGCTTTCTGCTGTGGACCATAGGGAAAATAAATTGTTTATTCCTTAATTTGGGGAAGGAAATGCCTTAATAAAATGTTTACTAAAAATGACATTAGTTTAGTAGTTCCTGCAAATTACTAGCAAACATTTCTAGAGAATCTTTAGTTGGTAGAAACTGGTTCCAAGCAAGCCAAGAGAGACAGTGGCATATATTGACTGAGGGGCCATTTTCAATTAACAGAAGTTCTAAATGGTAGCTCAACAGCTGCCCAGACATCTATATGCTCAATATTCTCATTCCTGGGGAAGGAAGCCATTTATTGGTTTTATTATCATCATACTGAAAAACAAGCAAGATTTTTGCCCCTTGCTAAGCTCTGTTGTCAGACATGGGTAACTGAGGTTTCTTTGGTTACTTCACTTTCCTTCATAAAAGAGGAAAACAGAAAACGAACAAGTTATAGCATTTCACTTTAGAGGTAAGACTGAACGCTCACATGAGTAACCAATGATGGGGAATACGAAAAGTAAGCAATTACATCACAAGTCCACCCGCAGGGAAATCAAGCAACATACAAGAAGCCTTTCTGACTCAGCGTCCCAAAAGCCCCCATCACCACAATCTTCAGTTGTTGTGCTGAAGGAGGTATTAGAGGTATAAAGTGCAATAACGCGTGTGACTGCATAACATCAGTCTTCCACCTGTTTGTCCCACCACAGCGATGAGCTGTAACTGTAGCATGCAATCTCTCACACAGCCCTAAACTCACCTTAAGAGAGGGGGCACCGAAAACCTTTCAAGGAAAGAACACTCTCGCATTATGTGTCAGTATAGCACTTACAAAGCAATTCCAGTTGAGCTTCTGCATACAAATGTACAGTAAATAATGAATTCTCCTTATCTTCTGCCATCTCCTATGAGTGGCTAAAGCCTTTCTCCAGCTTTCAATATACCTCTTTGAAAGCTATCAAGCACAAGATTCCTGAATTGTTTTGTCTGCAAGAAGTAATGTCACTGTTATCCTACAGGATGTCATTTTACTTACGGTTCAAGTCAAATTCACCAGCCTTGAGAAGAAGCCTTCTAATATGTATAGAAGTATTCTAATACGGAAATACGTAGCATAATGTCTAAAAATCCATAATCTTCAGATTAGAGAATATAAAATGAAACCACGGATTTATTGCTTATCACTCTGGGAATGAATAAACCAGGCCTAAAGATTGAACTCTTATATGCGTTACAAGGTTTAAATCTTTGTTTAAATTGCAGCCCTTGTGGAAAACAGCACATTCTGGACATTTTCCAAGCAGCTGCTAAATCTGGATCTATTCACTGATACCAACTTTCTTAAAAATGACAACAGAAGTGAAGAAATCAGGATCTTGCTCTTGCCTTATGTTCATTTTTCCATCTATAATAAACATCTGATTCCATAAAGCTTTTTTTGGTATTACTAAAGAAAAGATTCATAATGAACTCTGTACTGTCTTCACTGAGCTGTTCTGTGATAGAAGACCACTGACAAGTTCCCACGATAACACACTCTGCCTTCTGCAGGTTTGTCAGCCCTTACCTGTAATCAAATTCCCACACTGCAGTGAGTAAATTGTGCTAGCAAAACAAGAGCAGCCTGAAGACATTACTAGAGCCCAAGACAAAAAAGTCTTGGAGTATTTCCTTTTTATCTGCTTTACCCAAGGATGAGAGGACTGCAAGAAACAACTAGTGGGTACCTGATACCTAAGGAGCAGAAGGCTGGGAAGAACCGTCATTGTCTCTCCCAAATAGGAGCTTGAAGGACAGAGGAAGAACGACCCTTCCCTAAGAACTCTTGCTCAGACCATACTGTCCTGAACATACAGGGGGTCCCCACCAGAGGAAAGGTATTAGCCACACAGATAGAGGGAACTTCAAGTCCAAATTTAAGTAGGTAAAGGAAGAAACTATCCACCAAAAGCTAAGGAAGGGCTGCATGGAGCTGGGAAGAAAGGGAATGACAGGGCACGCTGCAAACAGGCTGTAACACACGGTTCCCAAACCAGCTGCAATTTCAGTAGTCAGTTAAATCAACTAGACTGAACTGCTTCCAACAATGCACTGAAACTGGAAACAAAGTATGGATTCTATAATTCAATAATCTTTTAAGCATATTTATCTTAGGAGCCACATATATGGAAGCGTAACAAAAATCATTAAAAAGATGCCGTTCAAAATGCAAAGGAAAAACCTGTTCATGCTTTTCATTTTGAAGAGACATCCAAAACCAGATTTACATCCTTACAGTAAAGTAGCACGGGCTCTTCCAAACAAGCCCACCACAAGGAGCAAGTGATTCCATCAACGTGCTTTGCTTTAATGGCTCTCATTGTCAGTGTATGCACTATGCAACGTTTAGGAATCCGAAACAGGAAGTCTTCCCAGTTTCTTTCTCTTCTCAGAGATGAATTTTCATTATAAAATAAAACACTGTCTTTCAGAAGGCCAGAAATGCAAGTTTCAGTTGGCTGGCTGTCTCACAAATCTTTATCACTGTAAGAAAAGAACATTTACTATCATCGAAGAAGGTAAACACACATTGTTTCATGTCTTTCAGTAGGGTTTTCTAAAAGCATTGGTAGCTTCCTGCCTTGTCTCGTTACCTTTCCCATGTTTTCAAAATAAGGAAGCCTGAAAGTAGCCTCTCACTTGCTGTTAAGCTGCAAGACTTCCCTAATGCGTACATTCACTGCGAATTTACTCATGTTTATAACCTACGCATTTATTGTATTCTTTTTTAGTATCAGCCTGTTTACAGTCATCTCTAATTGAAACAACTGATTAGGAATACTGGAAAGCCACAGGTGTGGCGTACGGAAGTCCCATTAATAGCACTTCGGGTGCAAGGGTTATCTGCCTTGCATTAAGAATACAGACAGTATAACTTTCTTAGTGTTACGCACCTAAATCCCTTCCAAAGCATAAATAAGATACACCACAAGTTCTGCAAACATCTGTACTAACTTCAACTGGTGCTGAAAACGTGCTCCCAATTAACACAGGAACATCTGAAAGAATAACAACTATAATGACAAATTTGTCTTTTCTTAATTTAGAAGGAAGTATATTGCCAAAGAGCAAAAAAGAAGCGTTTAAAAAAGCTGAGGGGGTAGGAAAATGAGAACAGACAGACACAATAATTAAACCTGGGGTGGCTCCTCTGGTGCCTCATTGTAAGAGATGCCTTTCATTAAGCGTAATGGAACTTAATGGATCTTCTATGGCACTCAAACACTAAATGTATCCCTTTATTAGAGCACTGCACATGTACTTTCAAATAAGAAGAAATTGCTATAAGGATGAATCTACACTATTAATCACTGAATACAGTAAGAAAGATGTGCAATGTGTGGGATTTATTAGAAATTCTTAATCCAATGAAATCTTCGTAAAATGAAAAATGTTAAACTAAAGAACTATTTTGATGGAAAAAATAAAGCATTTAATGTGAACAGAATTGTGTTGGTAAGGTCAAATCAGCAAGTGAAACAGAAAATTCATTTTGAGTATTACTGAAAACATTACATTTTGCCACTGCCTTTACTACACTACCTTAGTCCAGACTAAATCAGTTTCCTGTTTAATAGCCTTTGAGTACACCGCAAAATGTAAGAAATTAAATATTTTTCTCGTAATACTAATGAATATATTTTACCTGGAATATAAGAACTGCCCTACTGAATCAGACCAGTCATCCATCTAGCCAAGCATTCAGACTCTGACAGCAGCACCAAGGGATATCACATGAAGAAAATATGCAAGTAAGTCTAACCACAGTCTGAGGTCAACTCCCATTTCATTCAGCAGCATCTACAAACCTTGGGAATGAGAAATGCCAGACAGTACACCTCTCCTATTCTCCTCAGTACCCATTTATGGACCCATGGTCCATAATTTTTCTAACCCCTTTTTTTTAACCTGCTCATACTGTCTGTTCCCACAAAATTTTGTCTAACTGAACTCCAGGGGCTCTCTAGCCACTTTATAAGGCAGTACACCTTAACTATTTTAAACTGATCTGTTAGTTTCATCGAGTGTCCTCTAGTTCAAATACTTAAATATCTGATGAACAGCAGATCTACTTTAGCCTTAACTATCATCTTCATGATTCTGTACACAAATACTTAAAATAATAAACAACTCCTGCTGATGCCTTTGGAAATCTAAGTCAAACTTGATTCTACGAAACAGTAAGATTTTTTTGTTCTCACATAGTTTTCCTGGCACGCTTTTATTACTGTAGCACATCTTGTCATCTCAGCTAATATGAATATGTAGAGACAAAACTTTGGTCTCTAATTGATATATTTTTAACTTTCTCTAGAAGATGCAGGTGCTTACATTACAGTGAATACTTTAACAAACTAAGCAAACATCCTAAGGACATCCTAAGTAAAATGTTCTTCAAAAAGTTGCTTACAAAGTCAGATTGCTTATACTTTATAAAATTTACTGACACACACATCTAAACCATTTCGTATCAGCTTTATTACCACATACTTTAAATCACACTATTGATTAATTATACTGAATGAATCCCTATACAATGTGTATTATCCACTCTGCCATGCAAAGTATCACATATGAAGGTATTATATTTAAATAGATTTCAGCTACAGTCAAGTGATTTACAGTATGATTACAAAGGCAGCACCAATACACGAACAGAAAACACATAGGATTATCTACCATACACACACATATCTTGCACGCAGGGATCTAAAGGAAAACGGATATCCGGAGGACAGGGATTCCGGAGTAATAGATACTGTTGCATTCACAGATACAAAAAAATGTAGGGTTTTTAAGAAGCCACCTACCAGTGTGATGTCTCGGGAAGCAGCAGCTGCACTCATGTGTAAACTAGGTTGCCTGACGGAACTACTGCAGTCCAATGCTCGAGCAAACGTGCCAACCGCACTACAACAGAGAAACAGTAGACAGTAAATGCATAGAAAAATATAACCTCTTTTTTGTTATCAGACTATGTCATATCTATAAAAGTGTCCTTTTAAAAATAAAAGTCACATACTGTTACTCTTAAGATTTCAGATCTTTGCTAACAAAAGACAATTTATCAAGACAAATCACCAAACACTGCAGTAAAAACTCTGACCTTCTCCCCCCAAAGTAACAACCTACATGTAAGAACAACAGCATGGAAACAAGATACTCAGAGAATTCTAATGTACCAACTTTTTAATGTACCGATTTTTTTATTATATATGAAGTCACAGATCCTACTCAGTTTGGGTTTTACAACTGTGACCATTATTTTTAAAACTAAAAAGCTACAACACTGTTTAACAAATTACAATACAATTTAAAAAACAGGGTTCACCATGTTCCCATGAGGAAATTAATAACATTTTATTCATTTCATGCATGTCTACTACTTCCATTAGTGAGGCAAAGAAAGCATATTAGCTCAGTCTAAGGTACCTGCAAAATAATATTTTTGCCACAGGTTTTAAGTAATAATGAAATAAATGATCTCTCAGCCAACTTAATAAAAGCATTCCAGCATTACTGAAATGGACACGTTCTTCTCCAAACCTTTACCTTTTTTTTTCACTTTTGTTTATGTATTGTGTACGGCATTTATTATACTTACCAGAGCAACAAAAGATAAGGAATAGAGATGGAGAATTAGTGTGATAGTGACTGTTCTAAACTGCAAACTTTCCTTGGAAGCCTATCTATATATCACGCACAGTGAAGGGAAAGATGCGTACGAGAATTTAACTGGGCTCAGCATATCATACAGGAAATGAGAAAAGCTGCAGCGACATGTGAGAAAGATTATTAATTAATAGAACAGAAGTTGCTCCAGTACCCTGAGTTGCATAATGACCCTTGAGGTGCATTGTGTCACTATGATATTCTAAAAAAATTATTTGTTGCAGTTATGACATGATATAAGTCATTCTAACCAACTCACCTAACATTTTTAATACAGTGTAAACCTCTGGACTAAGGACTGGAGCCTCACTCAGCAATTACACGCACGCAAGTTATAAGTGCGGAATTATACCAATGAGGAATGTCATTGACAGAGATCAACACACTGAAAGTGTCACATTACTGTGTACTATAAACCTGATATTCAACAATAAATCTGATGTGCATCAAGAGTTTAACTCGATAAGGTGGATTATTGATCATGGAGAAACTGGAAATAACATCTGTTACTGCAATTTTATCTTGAATCTCAAAACATTTAATACTGAACCCATGTTTCAGTACTTGCTGCCAAAAACTTGTAAGACACAAATTAAGATTCAACAGCAGTGATTCACACACTCCAGATATTAACTGCTTAAATTTCTAAAGGTTGTGGAATAAATAAGTTATATTCAAACGTTGTTCCACAACCTTTGCTCCCTCTTTGCAGAGATGGCAAATATGTGACAAGAACACACACACACATTCTATTTTCTTTTTTAAAAGGTTTGGCAGTACATAAAACAGTATTTGTCCACAAATCAGTCCCAAGAATAAGGCTCTATTGTGAACACATTTCCTGATAGTCAGTCAACCCCTTTAAACATGCTGGCATTGATAAGGGTTGTAGCTAAACAGTCTTTCCTGTGATCCTTCTGTTGCTACTGTTCAAACCAGTAAAGCAGCATGCGGCATGACGCTATTTCCCTTCTGCTGCTACCTACTAGCTTATCTTCCTTTTGCATAATTAACACTATTTTCTTTTGACCATATTTCTAAAATAAAATCAGAGTATGCTATGGAAATTACACAGAGTATGTCCTCACAAGTCACTCTCTAGCACATCAAGCTGCCTTCCAACTTCTTAGGCTGACTTCAGAGCCCAAGCATATATGAATTATGTTGCCCAGTATGTACAGTCAAAATTAAGACACAACATAAAGCTACATTTATTTCAAGTGAGTGATAAAGAGATAAGAATTGATGCACTAGTTGACATCACTTCAGTGCTGTACTGAGTAGGAGAGGATCACAACCGTCAGAGGAATGCTGCGTGGGAGTGTGGGATACGTGAGTGCAAAACAAGTAAGAATCACCATAAAATGCAGGCAGTGTGCCATTTTGGGGGCGGGGGGTGGAAGAGGGGTGTGAGCGTCTGTGACTATACCCTGAAATCAACGTAACTTCCAGTTCACCTTTCCCTGGAAACTTTTGAAAAACAGTGAATTTTTCAGACAATCCAAATAAGTGTAGGAATTCTAGAGCATTTGGCTGTTAAATAGTAACTAGTCTCAAAACTTAATAGTGATATACAGTGCTCTGTATAACCTAGCCATGTAATCCAAATTCAATATTAATTTTAGAAATCGTTAAAATACTTTAATTTTTATGTTTTTCCATTTAAAATACAGATATGAGGAACATATTGATACAAAGGTCAAACATTTCCTTTGTCGTTTTCCCTTGCACGATTTTTTTCTAATAATAACACCAAAGAATTATTTTTAGAATGTTAAAATGAAAAAATAACTAACTAACCAATGCCTAATTCCAGAAAACACACTACTATCTTCATCTACCTGCTACCAAAATAAAACTCAGTATTAAGCCAACGCAGGCTGAACAGTCAGACCCTGACTACTCATTTTTTTCTTTTAAGCAGACTCTTTAATGTAAATGTTCCATTATGTTGGCAGAATCCAAAGAATAACTGTAAATATTTAATTGAAACTATATTTAATTCAGTAACAATAATAAACTCACGTAACCAAAAAAATGTGCTCAGCAAGCTAGTCACAAATTAGTTACTCAACAAGTAATTAAAGTACTGAGTCTCCAAACAGAAACCAACACGCCCCACGCCTCCCAAAATAAGCTAAAGCCAAAAGGCATACAGACAATGAATTACACACGTGGCAGAGAGATGGACAAGAATGATAAACAATTGGTATTATCAGCAGAGAGATCACTCTTTGCACAGGCTGTATCAGTAAGCAGGTATAAGAGCTTTAAGGGCTAGACCAATGTTACCTTAATTAGGTTTTCCTTGTTTTAATTATCTTAAAGACCAGAACATTCTCTCAAGGACTTATAACCGAGATTGCAGCTGATAACCATATAAACGTAAATCAAGATAATCCAGTGCCAGGATCTAAGACTATGGAATAAATCCACAAATTCAGCAAAACTCAACAATACCTATGTCCAAAAAAACCTGACAGTGAACTCTCTAGGAGTTAAGTAGCTTGTCATCATTTTCTTGTGCCTATGTGCCCTACATTCGGGCAAAACTTCAGATTAGGTACTGAACACAGAAAATACATCGCTCCAAATTTCTTGTAACTCAAGTCTAAGACATTCAAGGAAGTAATTGTTCAAATTTTTGCATAAGATTAGTGTTACTGGTAGCCAATGAAATTATGATGCAGCAAATGCAAGAGACTGTCATAACACATTTCTAAAGATTCAACTGCTCATCAGCAACTAGTTCTGAAAAGGGACGTTATTTACCAAAGAAAATCTGGAACTACTGTGATTATACATCAAGATAAAAACAGTCACTAGTCTCCCCGGTAGCAACAGCAGTCCAGCATCAAATCAGATCCAGAAAGTTCTGGATCCAGGCCAGTAACTCTCTATTTTCTTCTACCTTGTATTCTCAAAAACCCAGCTGAGACAGAGATCCTTTTTAATCTGAGGATGTTTATTTTAAAATTGTTCACTTTTATGCACTGTTTCTCTGTTTCAGTGATACGAGATGAGTAGTGGGTATATTCAGGACAGATCTGTTTAAAGCAAACCACCTCATGCATGAATCTGCAAATTCACAATTTTCCTCACAGATTTGCAAACTAATGAATGAGACCTACATCTCACCTGAGAATTAACGTTTTTGAGGAAAATAATTAAGTGGTTCTTTGGTGGCTTCCTACCTGCTAGGAAAGCTTTTTGTTTTCCTTATTATTACAGCAATGTTCCCTTTCACTATAAGTTGGAAATGGTCCTAAAAGATGACCTCTTAGACTGCTATCAATAACAGCACTTTATAAACAGCCAATTAATATCTGATTGCTCCCTAAGAGAGTCTCGTGATACTTGAAATCTTGGAAAGAAGAAGAAAAAAAAAAAAAGCTTCTTCAGGGGAGATATATGTCATCAGCACAATATTAATTAAAGTTGAAAAATACCCCCGAGATTTTTACTACTGGATAATGCAAAATCTGACATGAAGAATATATTCATGGTAAAATGATGCTGTTCCAGAAGACACATTTTCCTTGCATTTCTAAGCAACTGTCTGTACAGTGCTATGCTTCATTATTATCACTTCAGATATTCAGAGCGCAAAGGGAGATGACATGATAAACATGAAAGTCACTTGCCACTATTCTTTCTCTGAAAGACTCTCAAAGTTAGGGTCAGGGGTGGCATTATATATAATGTCCCCTACGCACCACAACTAGCCTTCAGTTTCATTACTAAATGAATAGAAATGGAACATATGTGAAATCTTTATTATTCAATAGAAATAGAATCTGATACATACAAGTAGTTTAATTCACAGGATCATCTGTACTCCATGCTGCAATTTCAGTCACAGAGGAGATTTACAGCCCCCAAAAAGCAGGTCCATGAAAACGCTGCTGCAGAAAGTTAGTTTTTTTTATAATGCAATAGATCAGGATTCATAAAAAAAGGTGCAAAAAGAAATTCAGCTCCAAGTCTGAATAGTTGTTTTCAAATGAATTTGGTCAAGAAGAAATATAGTAACACAAAACGTACAAAGGAATAAATGTGTATTGGCCAAGCATGACTGACAGGCAGAAACACAGTATTTTTCATACTCCTAGTAAACTTGATGTGAGCGTATTTTTCTTTTTTATTGCCAAACCATCTGCTTACCATTAGATGCTGTAATTCACCTTGCTAGCAAACATCTAGTTCTGCAAGTGCAGCACTGACATCAAGATTTTTCATCATCTTTACCACATAATTTTATATTGCAATTCTGTCATTAAATTTCATTATCTCTTTAATGAACTCCAATTCCTCTTACTTTTCATCACCTAAAGAGAATCCAGAAGCACACTAATGTCGAAGCTTTCAAACCAGTGACTTTTATATATTTGTATTTTCATTGATGAGCTTTGGGAGTCTTGTCTACTGCCACTGACTACACTGAATTATCTTGCAAGAACAGTGTATTACTATTTGAGCACACTTTTAAATGTTTTTTACTTATTGTTCTCAGTTGACAGATGTATTCTTTTCCTCAATATGATGAAAGACACATTGCTAGTTGAAGCTGCACTGTGTTCCTTTCCTCACTGTAAGATAAATTCATGTAACAAATAAACCTCCATATACCATGAGCATTTATAACTAAATCAACTGTAACCAACAGAAAATGAATATAATCACTGTCTTAGAGAAAATGGAAAAGTGGAAACAACACAGGAAGCATCAAGCTCTAATTCAAAATGACTAACACGTAATTTTCCAATCTTCTGTGATTTTACATCAAAAAATAAGCAGGCATTCAAACGAAGAGAAATATGTTATGTTAGCCAGAGGTACGCAATGCCATTTTAATTTCAAAGTAATCAGAGAACAAAATTTTAAGGTAGAGGTGCAATGCTTTAAGGCTGTTTTAATTAGTCTTCAAAACCCTGTTTTGAAGTTGGAAATACGTTGGGACCACAAATGTCTGCAAAATAGCTTGATTTATTAGAGAGATATTCCTTCCCAAAGACTATGCTAATAGTCTAGTTAGACGAAACAGAATAAAAGAACTTTGTTAACTATTTCACTGCATCATAAAGTACATAAATGGAACTAGAATGTACCAAAAACTTACCATGTAATGAATTATAGACCAAATTAGCAGACAGAAAGAAAATGAAAAAAAAAAAAGGGTCAGGTCTACGGCTCTCAGCATCTGTCCAGACTGGAGCCCACAACTCTTACCACGTTTGAGTCTGGCCAGGACCATGTTTGACTCCTTGACAAATTAAAAAAAAAAGAAGAAAAAAAAAAAAAAAAAAAAGGACGGCACTATTATGTTATACACACAATAGGAAAGTTTATATTTCCTAATACTATGCAATTTGGAACAGAGTTAGAAAGAGAACATGAGATCTCACAAGGAAATGAAGCATTCTTTGTATATTAGGAATGATAGAGACTGATGACTGGAGAAAACAGGGTGCATCTCTATCAGTGTTCTAGTTCAAATTAGGAATGGAGTTTCAAAGCAACTGTCCCCAGCGTCTTTATCTACTGGACTTTAACCAACATCAAAAGGTATCTTGTAGCATACAAACTGGATTTCCATTAAGTTAAACAGTAATTCCACATACTCATAGATATTTAGTCCACAGGACCAGATCAGAGTTAGCCTAAAAATAAAACTGCTCAAAATGTGCAGTGTGGATGCTACGTCCTCAGCACCAAACATTTCAATTCTACAAATCCACTACTTCTGTACTGTACTATTTGCCAATGTGGACAGATCTAAACTGCTGTTGCAGCTTCTGAGAGTCCTGTTCTTTGAAGCTAGTAGACACAGAAGAACTGTTGCCAATATATATGACAGAACAAAAATTGCTTGATGAAGCTGTATCTTATTTGAATGGAGTAGAAAATGGTATTGGAATTCTCATTGCCAGAATATAAATGACAGCGCATTACCCAAAAAACAACTCAAAACCAGAATACGTTAGTCTGATGCCTCAAGCTTCTCCTAACAGATACTTTTGCTAGTTCAAGCAAGAGGCCCTTGGCCAAATTATGCTTCAGTAGTAACAGTAATGTATTTTCAAGATTTGTAAATCCACAGTCAAGCAAGACTACCTGGGGAGCTCAAGGTTAAGGATCTTCCCGCTCAAGTACTCTCATGCTTTTTTCAAAATCTCCATAGATTTTTCTGGCACTGCTACCTCTAATTTTTGGACAGGATAGGCATATTCTTCTACTTTTATATCCAGCAGATTATTGCATACTAGGGCTGAATGACAAGCCCAGACTGACCAGGCATATAAACCTAGAAAAAAGGCCTCTCGCTCCTGAGACAGTAAAGAAACCTTGTAAGACTGGGAAAGCCACATGCCCTAGGCCAAATATAAATGTTCTTGCAAATGGGCAATACAAACAGAAAAAGAGAGTGTTTAAGCACCTTCTAAAGAACCAACAAAGCCTGCTTGTGTGGTTGAAAAAGCTAAAGCCTACAAGGACAAAAGTAACTCTTTCTTCAACCAAAGCAGACTGAAAAAACTGAGAATACTCGATGCCTTTGATGCAGCATGTAAAAAGGATCAAGTGAAAATGCTTTTAAAATTTCAAATACAGATAGCATACACACACTTAACCAAAATCACAAATAGGAATGCATTTAGGAAAGAGTTCTTATTGTCAGAATTTCAAATTTGCAAAACTAAACATAACTTCCAGGAACCAGAGAAATACCATTCTTATGGGAATCCCAGCAGGCACAGCCAATGCCCAGTGAACTGCAGTTAGGCCACAGCAGAAATACCTTCTGAGTCTGTAAGCACAGTTTACCAGACCATAATACCAACTCCACTGTTATTCAAGCAGCTTTTAATGGTCCAGTATAACGAAAGCCTTTACATGCAAGCAGACAACATACTGAATTTAAAGCTGGCACAATCATCATAGGAGAACTGTTTCTCCAGAAATCGGTGAAAAATCTCTCTCAGATGCACTTAATGCAACAGAAATGTGATCTTGCAGCCTATGAATACAAAGTATATAGGAGCTTGGAAATAGTTTCTGTCAGTTCAAAAACAGCTTACAAAGATGAATGGAGTTTTGGGGAAGAACATCAAGAAAGTGGTACCTGAGTAACATCTGATTACAGGTGTTCATTAGTGATTGCCTACCACAAGATCTTGGATAGCTACAATTAGTCAGCTATGACCAAGACCTATTCCCGCCATAACAGAAACCTTTTTACAGAAATTCATCAACTTCTAAACAAATGCAACCTTGGTCAGGCCACAGCATCGCACAGGATGTCTTAAGTAAGGGGACAAAGAGAGAAGAATGTTTTTCTCTAAAAATTTCATTTATTCCCTGTCATTTATTCTCTGTCACTTCCCAGTAGACTGCTTACTGGCACACTCCCCTGGCAACATTTCAGCTTCACAGTATACTACTTCAGCTCCCCAGAGCGGCTGCGAAATGCAGAGTGGAGGGATGTGAAGACAATGAATGAACTCCTCAAAAACGCACGTGATCTTCACACAGATGGTATTTTTAAGGCACCCCATAACGGTCTGCCCATACATATCCAGGAATTATATTGCTGGTGATAGTAGTAGTCCTGTTTTCTGGATTCTGTTCTATGTAGCATCTACCAGGCATTGTGATCTTCTGAACAGATGAATGTTCACACCCATACCCCTCCAGCTTGTTTGGAAATTCAACAGGGGCAGGCAATTTTTACAACTGTATAGAAAGGATACAGCACTACCAAGTGGGGGAGAAAGAAGAAACCCAGGTGGATCAGTATGTGAACTGTAAAACAATAAATCGGCAACCCATTTCACCATACACAAGCTGGAAAATATAAAGCAACTTCTATTTCCTTCCTGAAATGCTTTGTTCAAAAGGGAGAAAGAATAAAGAACAGAAACTGGAAACAACGTAAAAGGATTATTTGCCTAAGAAGATTTGAGACTATGCTCTGCAACCAGGTTACAGAAAATACAGGAGCTGGAGTGATTCAGGATAAAATCCCTCCAGTAGCTGTGATTAACAGTTCTCTGCCATCATTGGAACAGCACCTTTGTACAATATCTGTAAGTATGAATTACAGGACAGGCAAAACATGCTCTATCTTATGAGTGTCAAGCTGTCCTTCAGTAAGAATTCTATAGAGTTCTGAAAGTTTTTTTTTTAAAGTAAAGAAATTATTTTTAAAGGTATTTATTAATTCCAAGGGCTTTGATGTTCCTCTCATAAATCTGCATAATCGTATGTTAATTTATAAAATTGAACTGACCAGATTTTTTTCACTAATGAAAGGCATCGCTTCAAAACTTTTATTTCAACATTCATCCAAAATAATTGCACTGCATGTTATTCATCTTATATGCAAATTGGGCAAGTTCTGCATCCATTTCGTTTGTTAACATTTTCTTTATTTCTACTCTTAATTTTATATTACACTACGAAATTCCAAGTACTATAGTAAAAGACTGAAATATTAGCACTGAAATCCTGTTTCATTTACTCTGAGGGGAAAACAGACTGATGTCTACATTTAAAGTATCAAATTCTACTATAACCTGACATACAGGCAGCGTAGCATTATTCCAAAATTCACTCTCTTTTTCTTCCTTGTGTATTGATAGCTCCAATAAATATGCAGAAGATTATGGTCTGATTTTCTCTTTTAGCTAACTGTGGGAAAGAGAAGGGCTCACAAAATGGCAAACAAGTTGAGTAACACGATATAGGGGAATAAATAGTCAGTAGGAAAAGGAAAAGGAATTTTTTTTATTAGAGGATTTTAATCTTACCGTGCTACAACTAAAAACTGGTCAATCTGACGGTCAGTAAGGGGGCTATCTGGATCCCATACTTTTACTTCCAGCTTTGCCTGTTCTCTGTCATCTAATTCTCCTGTCAAAAGGTAGATGGGACAAAACACTTATTACTCACAATGTTTTTTTCTGTGTATTTCTTGCACTATGTTTAAAAGAGACATTGTACATTTTTAAACACACACACACACACAGAGTACTTAACAATCAGCAATTATCCATTTAAATTCCATAATGCAGCATCAGTAAAATAAACATCTTCCCTTAACATCAGCATTTCAATTTAAGGAGGCATTCTTAGGAGGTGTAGTACCAAAGAACTTTAATAAAATGTGATTATAAACTTGAAACCATAACCTAAGTAACCAGTGGTTTCTTTAAATTACTTCTCAACTATATCAAAGTTACTGTTTCACTGAAGCCATAGTAAAATTAATTTTACACTTAACCAGCTTTAGCAATTAAGTTCTATCCAATTTGCATTCTATGCCTCCAAAACAAAAATCATTATGAAAAAATGCTGTCTACTTAATTTAATTTTTTTTTCACCTCTAGCTCTCAGCCACTACATCATCTGTATTGTTAACACAAATCATAATATTAAAATTGCTGTGTATGTTGACTAGTTATATCCTCTTATAAAATAACATATAAGGCTACAACACAAGAAAGTTATTACATACTACATCATGATTTCCCAACTCCATTTGTCTGAACGGATTAATTTGTGTACATGCATGCGGTCGAAACAATGGTTTTAGTGGTTTCCAAAATTTAACTTGCCCTGTATTCATTATTAAGAGAGTATGGCATTTGTACTGCTTGGAAGAACAGTGAAGTGTGAAGATGCTACAATGATTCACGTTCATATGGAAGCCTAAATCTTGGCTCAGGATTTAGGCTTCCATATGAACCAATAACTTCTACTGCAAAATGAGAGACATTACAGAGGCTGATTAGGCAGGCAACACACATTCTACTGGTGTAAGAAGATCTACCTATGGGATGTGGCCAAGACATTTGGGGCCACAACAGGTGACACGAGCAAAGTCAGAATCTTTGTCTTTCCTTGGTATTTTAGAATACGAGCATGTTCTTCCTTCAGTGAACATGTGAAAAACGCCAATGTTTAGTTGGATGCCAGTACTTTTATGAGCTACTACAAGAATAAAAACCTGTTCTCAAACATAGCCGTCCAATTTCCTTTGAAAATCTAGGCTGTGTAGGTACCCCTCTGAGCACACAGAAGATAACTTTAGAATCATAGAATCATAGAGTCATTAAGGTTGGAAAAGCCCTCTAAGATCATCAAGTCCAACCGTTAACCCAACACCACCATGCCCACTAAACCATGTCCCTAAGCGCCTCATCTACACGTCTTTTAAATACTTCCAGGGACGGTGACTCAACCACTTCCCTGGGCAGCCTGTTCCAAGGCCTGACCACTCTTTCAGTACAGAAGTTTTTCCTGATGTCCAGTCTAAACCTCCCTTGGCGCAACTTGAGGCCATTTCCTCTCGTTCTATTGCTTGTTACTTGGGAGAAGAGACCTGTCTGTGTTAGTCTGTGTTATTTCTTATGACTTAATGAAAACAGCCAGTATAAACATGCATAGTATCATCAAGACATGAAATCACCTGTACACTTAAGAGTCTGGAAGCAGACTGCAAACCGAGCACTGGCTTTTCTGAAATCTGATCATATATGGCGAGTTTCTCTAGCACATTCATTCTGGAAGCAAATGAAAACGTGGTATATATTTATCCCTACCAAATACACCAGTTAGAACTGCACCATGCTGTCTGCCTAATGTTTCAGGAACAAATTTCACAGGCACAGTCTCAGAAAAATAAATTACTTTCTTCTGATACGCAGGCAATAAAGAATTGTCTGCCTAATGGGACATACGCTTCTGTTTAAGCTAATTCGCGTCCAGTACTGGAGACAAACTGTTAATTTCTGGCAATCCTGGGCAGGATTTTAGATCTATAAACTTATTCAATGGACTACACACTTGTCAATACATTCATTTTTTCCATCTGTGACAGACACATTGTGGGTGATGTTCTACATTTTATACATTATCTCTGAGCACTTCACTTCAATCTGTTAATATATAGTTTTAAAATATCTTTAATGTTACTTAACTGTTTCAGAACATCATAAACTGGAGATCATAATTCTAGAAGTATGGCAAAACCCAATACTCAGGTAGGGTATACTTCTCACAAAGAGAAAACATCATAAAAGCACAGCACAAGTATTCAGACAAAACATGTCACTCTCCTGAATCAAGTTTGCAAAAAGATGAAAAAAATTGCAATACTACACATCTTACTCCAATTAGAGGTAATTAAACAATTGCTACTACAAAATGTTGTTCTAACTGTTGATAAAGGTAGATCTGAAATATTGCCAAACAGTATTTTGTAATGGCAGTAGACATAAATGGGATACAAGCAACAGAATATTTATACCAAAAGAACCCAAACACATATAATGTAATATTTGCAATATTAAATATTACTGCAACAATGGTAGACAGAGAGTTTTCCAGAAGATACGTGGTGTCTGCCAAACTGCACTTACAAAAAATGCTTCATTCCCGATTTTCCACTTAAATCGCAGGATATTATCACTTAAACAGGAAAAAAAGTAACCTAAACAGATCAAATCATGGAGGCAGTCAAGCAGTGCTGTAGAAATCTTTGAAAAGTTGATTTCAGGAATAAAAATTTTATTTACTTCCTTTGAATGTGCTGAAAGAATCAGTATAGGAGGATCACATAAGATAAACAGGTCTTCCTTCCAGACGTCTTCTTTCAAAATAGTAATTACAAAACCCCCTCTGTTTTCCTTGAGCTGTCTGTCCTTAGTTAATCATGCCTGTACCTTATTCTAGAGGATTTGTAACGTGGCTGACCCCTTTAAAACTACAACAACTCTCTCTCTGTTAACACCTCTACATATCTCTTTTATATTGTTGAATTTGACATAAAACTACAAGACATTCAAACTGAACAGGCATCAAAGTTGCCATAGTATTAATTCCTTATACTGCAAACTCCAGGACACAAATGGAATGGGGGAGTTTAACTTTTAACATTTTCAGTGTTGCATCTGAGAAGGTTCTGTTTTACAAGTGTTACCTTCCCTCACTATCACCAACATACCAATTACAGCTTCTGAGAAACGGTAGGCTATTTTTTTGAATGGCTGGTATGACATACCAGTGTATCCAGTTTATTTTGAGCGCTGCTTATAATTTTATTAAAGCCAACCTAATCCTGAGAATTAATTTTACTGGAAAACATTAGTAGATGGCCAGAAATATGCCTATTTTTCTCCTCATCCATCATTCAATGCCTCACTTCTCATAGTTCTCTTATAATAAAAAGCAAAATGTGATTTTTTTTCTTTAAAAACCCCCCAAACATTAAGTTCTGTATTTCAGTTAGTCATTTTAAACAAAGGAAAGCATCATATGCCCCCCCACCCCAAAACAATTGTAAGAAAAATTTTACAAAACAAAACTAAACAAAACTCAACTTTGAACTGAATGCAAATAAGATGAACTACAAGAAATTAAAGAACTACTTAGTCAGCCTTTTAGACTTCACTTCCTGCAGATAAATACCCCCAAGGTAATTAGTACATTAGATTCAACATGATTCTATGTTCTTCTTATAACATATCCCACTAAAAGAAACATTTTGTTAGAGTGCAACTCTTTTAATTTTACAGATATGTAACAATGCTGCAATATTGTATCCTCTTAAGAAACTGAACCACGACATCTATAAAAGTTGGATTTTTTACGAATGGTTTTCAGGGAAACAATGCCAATTCCACTTTTAATGACGAACAATTGATGAGGTGTCTGACTGAAAAAAAGCCACAAGAAGCACTTTGTGCTTCAGTTTTATGCCTGTGAAACAGGAATATCTCTTAGCTACATTGCAAGGATGCAGAAGAGAGATACTTGTCAGTTCTTATCCTCCCTTAGTCCAGTTCAGCATGCAACACAATGAAATGTCTGTTATTGGAATACGGGATCAGATTTAGTAGATACAGCATTTAGCAGATTTTTGCCAGAACTCTTCAGCAGTACACTAACTGCAAGTAATCCTAAATGTCTTTTTTGAATACAGCTTCACGTGCTATATAACGTTGTATAAATAGGCAACTAATCACTGAAAATGAGGTTTCAATTCATGAACCACCTTCTCACACTGCTATTTAGACTGCTTGTCTGCAAACCTTTTCTCTAACTTACATATGAGAAAAATAGCATCACATTGGATTTTCTCATACTGTCTAGCTACGAAAAAAGTTCGAGCCATTAAGCCTGTCTGTCTAAAGTAAAATATGAGCTTTCTCCTTCAATGAAAAGTTTGTTAGTTCCCCTCTAAAACACTCAGCATATTCATTCTGCATAAAATGAATTATACATTCATACACAGAGGTTAATTATCACAAAACGTCACACAGCTTTTGACAAACAACTGATGGGGGGCGGGGAGGAGGATGTACAGCTTGACTGAGAAAGCCGGTTACAAAATGTCGAAGTAATTGCCACTGGGAAAGTAAGTTTTACATGAGGTATAGGGGCAAAGACATCTTTCAGATGGATGTACAAACTTTATCTACTGACACTTCACGAGTTCAACTCTGCATAAATTGAATTCATGGTAGACAGCTAGCTGACTGTTGGTCTTAACTAACAGAAATTACAACTCTTCTCCCTATAAAAGCTCTGCAGACACAGAATTATTATTACTCATTTTTTTTTAATGATTTGTGATTCTCACCAGTACTGATCGTCAAAAATCATCCAGAAAAAAAGTTCAAAAACTTACACTCAACTCTGCAAAAAATAAAACTGAATTATGTGCAAATAACTTCTCTGATTAAAGTAACATGAGAAAGCTTAGATTATTTTAGAAGTGTAGGCAAAAGGAAAATTACGTTTACCTTTCACCTGCAGAAAAATTGCCCCCCTTAGCTTGCCTGACAGATGTATATCCAAGATTTCAATTAGTCATTCAGATAATGAGTTGTATATTTACACAAATCTTA